TATAAAATCTATGTAAAATTACGTATACAATATACTGATTAGACGTATAAATTCCGTATTTTTTTGCATACGGAAAAGTCAATTTCAGTATTTTGTATACAGAAATATTTACGAATTTATTATACTGTTTGTCTACATTTTTTATATGTTTATTAAACGTATTATTTCTGTATACTTTCCTTATACTAATTATTTATAGGGCTTCCCATTTTTCTTTTTTCTCCTGTTGATGCATGACATTCTCTGCAATATGGTAACTCATTCTCCACTTGTATTAAATCTTCTAATATTCTACATACATTACAAATTTGAGGAAAAATTCCGGCAACAAAATAAGGCTTTTCGATAGGTGAACTACATGTGTGCTTTCTATTAACTTGTACTAGTTTAAATAATTCAGCTATAGGATCGTTATGTGAGTCAGTTTCCATTAAATTCTCACCATTGTTTTCTTTTTCATTGTCTTCATTTATATTAACATTAATTTCTCTTCTATGTTTAGAAGAACTTAATTCAGAAAAACCTCTAAATGTGGTGTCACAAGTGTATTTTATTGATTCTAAAAAAGTCTGGAGTAAATAAAATTCTTTTTCTATTATTTTACGGTGGGCATATAAAACATGAAGTTTGTTACATTCTGCGCATTTTATAGTTGTTTTTACATTCTTTCCAAACTGAGCAGTTGGACTAAAATCTATGCCATTTCCTTTTTTTTCTGTATCACTTGGTATATTCCTAAGTTTTCTATTCTGTAACGAAGGACAATATTTCTCTTTTGTCTCTTTTCCATATACTTCCAAAAATGACATATAGTGATCATCGGGTTCAGGAATGGGATCAGGTAAACCTTTTAGTTCTTTAAAAATATCTGGATCACTTCTAATTGGCATACATATATTACATTCACCATTTCTACATTTTTTTTTTCAAAAAAATATAGGCGTTTTCAACAGCAATGTTCCATAAATTTTTGTAATTTTGGCTATAAAAAAATAATAATTTAATTATTTTAATCAATTATTAATATTGGTTAATAAAACTAAATTGATATATACATTAACCTTACTTGTAACTTTTTTTGTAACATATCTTCTATTGTAATTGAATTATCAACCAAATGCACGGATTCCCAAAAATTTTCCATCTCAGTTTTAGTTGCAAATTCAAAGACTTTAAAGGAATCATCTTTAAGGCTTTGACGTGTAAATATATTATTTAGCAAATTTCGGGTTGGTTACATACTTTGTAACAGTTCTTTTTCTAATTGATTATTTATTTTTGCTTTTTCACGTATATCTTCAAGACTGTTACATCTATTAATTATTTTTTCCATTTCATCCCTCATTTTTTGACGCATCAATCCAATACATTGCATATCAAGATTTAATATGGACATTATACATTCTACCGGATTCTTCCATGAATGTCCAGGCGGAGTTCTTACAGCAACTAAATAATCCAAATCTAAAGCAATAAACATTGCTATTAATGACAATTGGATACAAAGAAAGTGTTTTTATGATCAAGACCACTATTAGTATATAACATTAAGAAAGGATGATGCTTTTAGATATATAACAATATACCATACAATTCTGTCATATGTCATAATGCACTTGATGCTTGAAATGCTGCATCTTTTAGACTTATATTTACTTGCTCTCTATAGAATGATTCATCTATATTATCAGGTATATTACAAAGCATTATTACACTTGGAATTAAACTACATTTGGTAAAATTGTGATCTGAAACAGCAAAAGTTTCATTTGTAATAACAACTACTTGCTTTTTACGTTCTATTGCAGCTACTAGATGTCCTGGTTCTCAAATTTTACAATGGTGTTTATCATCTAAGAAGACTAACCATATAATGTCCCTAAATTTTATAGCCAATTCTTTAAAGTAACGAAAAATTGCTGATGCATAATGGCTATCAATATGGTTTAAGTGTAACTGTCGAATTTGTATCATAAATTTTAATGGTAAAATTCCAGTATATTGAAACTTGATAGATTCCATGGATTTTTTGGATAAAATTGTAATCTTAACCATTGTACTGATGGAATAGGAGTACCCTCTGAACATATTTTTACTATCTGATTTCTCAAATCTTTTACAGATATAGCACGAGATAAATGCATAATGGGATCATGACGTCATTCGTCAACTGCAACAACTAAATCTTGAGCGGTACCTTCTAAAAATTTTTTGGAATATTTCCAAAAGGTGTCATAAATTGATATTCTTCCTTCATTAAAGTGTCGAAGGTCAGTAATAAGGTTAGGATCTTTCAAATCAAAAGCAAGTTTTACTCTAGCATTCATCTGTTATTGCATCTCCTATAAATTCCTTATATATTCGGCGAACTCTAGACTTTTCATTATTTCCAAGAAACATATCACATGTATTTACAAATTCTTTTCTCATTGCTTGTGTTGCATATGTAGACAGAATTTTTTAATTCATTTCTAATTTCATAATTTTTTTCAAAAGCTACAGATTCATCAACATCTGGGTCTATTTTTCAAATAAAAGTAGTATTTACTACATTTCTATGATGATAAGTATATACTCCTACTTTAAATGTAAATACTTTTTCTAAGTTTTTTAAATGTGTTCTTGAATCTAGAAAAATTTATCTCATGTTAAAAATTTTTTTTAAAAATTAAACAATAGGTTTATATTTTACTTACGTATCACTATAAGGACAATACTGATCAACATTTATTGTTTTCCAGTATTCCATAAATTCAATAGCCATGACCAATTTCTTATATTTTGTTACAATTGCTGGACTTCTAAACATAACAGGTAAGATGATCTTTAATTTACCCACATCTTCTTTATTTATAATAGGTATTGTAGAGTTATGATTTTCTTTTATTTATGTTGCTTTTTTAATTAGGTATTCTGCGTATTTTTGAAGATCATTTGCAAATTTAGTTAAAGGTAATTTTAAAAAAGCAAAGCATCGATATTCGATCCAAGACATCCCAAGATAAGCAGTTAGATTTTACCAGTGTTCGCTAAATGATTATGACTGGCAAATGACTTAAATGACAAATAACAAATGATCTGTCATTTCAATTATCAAATGACCAGTCATTTCAATAATTTTTAAATATAGCAAATTTTATAAATTT